GGGAACTCTGCAAAAAACGCATCTTCGCACGGGCAGCCCGTGCGTTGGCCATTTTTTTTTTTTTTTGCTTTTAAGCAGCTCGCAAGAAAAGAGAATCATCGAGAAGCTTGCTAGCAACAGGTCACTTTCGTTCCTGTTACCACTCGGGCTATTTTCAAGTATAGACGCATCTTTGACGGAATGCTTCTAATTTTTGAATCTTTCAAATCCCTTCTGTGATACAGCGTTTTGGAAACGATCCATGATTTGCCTATTCCCCGAAGAAGCACATGAGTCTCTCAGGATCGCTGATTTACCTCGAAGTAATTTTGTAATTGATGCCTTATGCTTGCTGACAAAGTCATTCCGCTTTCTACTCGTTTTATAAGAATTACTTGTCACGAAAAAGAAATTAAGGCTTACTTCAAAAGTAGTCTTCCAGTCAGGCTTTTTTCGCTCGAGCTTATCCACGAAAGGTATTAAGAAAATTTTGTGAATACTCACCCTGAAAAGTCTGGCATTCCTTAATACTACTGTAACAAACCGACGCAACACAGAGAGAAACCTGCGAAACGCACTAGTACATTAGCCAACCACGTATAATCGAAAAAAAAGTAAAATTTTCCTTGTTACTTTTTTAGAGAAGACGATGATGTGACAGACGATGATTTGCCGGTTGACATGGATATCCTGGAAAAAGTTTGCACTGGTAAAAAGACGTTGGATCCGCGGCCGTTTGAAAAAATTGAATTTAATCCTTTCGGTCCGGTGGCGAAGATGAAAGCGGTATTTTTTGACACAAAAAGAACTGTATAAGCTTTTTTCGTAAGGGAATATAAGTAGTTAAGAATTACCTACTTTACACAAATTTTTAATCTTAGTCTTGTCCGCCAACTGTGTTAACAGGCAACATCGCAGGCTGGCAATATTCCATATTTTGTCCCTAATCAAATCTGGTTTACTACACTGAAAGAGTCACTTGCCAATATAAAAGAGATTGGTTAAAAGAGTCTGCTTAGCGAATGCAAGCTTAATTTCTGCGGAATATATTGAATGCAGTAACCTTTGTGCTAAAAATATCCAGTAAGATTGTTTGAAAGTTACATATGCCAATGAATCAGGTAAGTTTTTTATAGAAAGGCTAGAGTAGCTGAATTCAGCAACTGGTGCTTTCTGATAATGCCTAGTTCAGGTTAAAAAATCGAAAAACTATTTTTTTTTCAAATAAAAAAAAATTCAAATGAAGTGAGCCAGCTTATGGACAAACTCGAAACTGAATTTAAAT